TATAACTATCCTGTGTGAATAAACGAACACACCGCACACGTTTCAGCCTGAAACCACCGAGCGAGGTTTGTCCACAGCCAATAATGGCGCCAAATCACCGATGGATGGGATATTTCTTCGTTTCGCTCGGGGTCATTCTGTGGGGGCGTTGTGCTTGTGTGGTTGGTCGGAGTAACGTAAACTTGGGCGGCCAGACTGCTTGCTTGCTTCGCATCGAGGGTCGAGCCTTGGTTGGGCGGAGGAGAAGGGGGCTTGTGGCAACTTTCAGTTGAGATTTCTTCTTGTCACTTGACTTTTACTTGACTTGCTTGACACTGGTTTGTTTGTCAGAGCTTCATTCGGAATTTGGGAACGGGGGACAGTTTCTTGGTTTCCCCTCCTTTTTTTTTTTTTTTTTTATGGGCAAGATGCTCCGTTATTGCGGGGCTGGAATGGATCTCCTGTTCCCTCTTTTTAATTTTACCCACCGTCAAAAACGCCACCCGCTGGGTCGTGCTAAAGTCTGGAGAGAGATCGACTTTTAACTTATCCTTGTTCGAGTCATGAATAAACCTGGGACCGAGGTAAATAAACTAAGGCTAGCAAGATGGAAGGAAGTTCAGTTCTATGTGTGCCTTTTTCACACAGGTCGTCAGTGAGAAAGAACGTCATGATGTTGCATGGTCACAGAGTCACAGATAGAGGGGGAGAGAGCGCCTACCAAGTGGCGCTTATCCTGCGCTAGTATTAGGTATTAGGCGTGTGTTTCGTGTGTTTCGTGTGTTTCGTTTAACCAACTCGGGGCCGAGGCATGGCGGCCAAACGCCGGAAACCTTAACCATGGAGCCTGGAACGTTTGCCGTTATTTGCATAAGTATTATTATTGGACACTTATCACGGGTCGACCTCAGAAGGCTTGTTGTACGTATCGTATACATAGTTACATACTGAATTTTTGATTTTTATCAATGAATTTTTTTTTTTTTTTTTTTTTTTTTTTTTTTATTATCTTTTCCCATATTTTGTTCTCTGTCTTCTTCTGACGATTGTTCACGTTTCCTTTTCCTGCTTTCCCTCTTGAACCTACACACTCGTTAGTTATTACTGCTACAATTAATTATCATTATATAACCAGGTCCCTAAATCAGCTAACTAAACTGTTTTTTGCCACCAAAGAAGCCCCCGGGCCCTCCCGCTTCGTTATCACAGTCGCTTCCTGCCCTTCTTCTTCTCTTCTTTATCTGCCAATTGGGTATAGTACATGTCTGTACATCTACATGTACATTACATCTTACATCTGGCGCTCTTTCAATCCTATCCTATCAGAGATCTTCGCACAGCTCGCAGACGACGGCCTGGGGCCAAGAACCGCAGATCAGCGCCTTCCCCGCAAGTTACACGGCGCATCCTGCTAACGCACTTGCTAACGTAGTTACTTACTTGCTAACGCACTTGCATGCTTTAGCGTCTGTGCCGGCATTAGATTAGCCCTGCTTCCAACCGACGTAAGCTTCATCTATTCCCTACAATAATCGTCTTTGTTTCAAGAACCGATGAAGGATCGGCCTAGAATTCGGCAAAAACGCTTTTCCCGGGACAGGTTCCAACTACTGGGCAAGGGCAGCGGCAACCACCAAAACGATGCCACTGACAACATCCCATTGACCAGTGTCCCGAGTCGAGGCCAGAACGGTGCGCGACAGGAGGACTCCAATGCTTCTTCTTCTTCGTATTCCTCCTCCTATATCCCGCCGACAGACCTGCCTGCTGAGAACGACAACAATGACAACAACGAGAAGAGCGGATTATTCCATCATAGCCCAGGCGGACGCAGGATGCTGTCGTCGCATGGGAAGCAGCTCGAGGCCCCGGAAGATGGCACCATCAACCGCATGGGAGAGCTGTACAATGCGATTCTGAATTACTCAGTCATCACGCGGTATTTTATCTACGTTACGCCCTTGGCGTTGCTCATTGCCATCCCCATTGTTGTCGGAGCTACAGTTGCTCAAAATGCAGAAATCGCGGGTGTTCGCATTGTATGGTTCTTTACTTGGGTGGAGATTGTCTGGTTGAGTTTGTGGGTGTCAAAAGTTGTCGCTCATTACATCCCCTATGTGTTTCAATTCCTGTGCGGCATTGTCAGTTCTGGGACGAGGAAGTATGCACTCCTCTTGAAAGCCTTGGAGATACCATTCTCTCTCATTGGCTGGTCACTGACCTCGCTTGTAACTTTTATTCCGGTACGTCTTTCAACCTGTTCCGTCCTATCATTCTGTAGAATGAAAATGGGAGAAGGGGGAGGAAAATAATATATACAACTAACTGTAACAGTTGATGACGCGAAACCCTTCCAATAGAGCTTCCGGTAACACAGGTATCCATCATTGGCAACGTGTGGTCAATAATGTCTTGTTTGCCGCGTTTATCGCGACTTTGATTCTAGCTGTGGAGAAGATTCTGATTCAATTGATATCGATCGGCTACCACCGGAGACAGTTCGATTCCAGAATCAAGGAGTCCAAGCGGAACATTGCCCTCCTTTCTATGCTCTATGAGGCTTCACGAACCCTTTTCCCTGAATATTGTAATGAGTTTGAAGATGAAGACTATGTGATCAACGACTCCATTGTTGGTGGTGTTGGGAAATTTGGCCGTGGCCACAAGCGACGAGGATCCGCTTCGCCGCTCCGTTTGATTCATGGTGTAGGTCGAGTCGGGGACAGAATTACAGCTGCATTCGGCAACGTCGCCCAAGAAATTACTGGGAAACAGGTCTTCAATCCAACTTCTGCCCATTCGATCGTGACCTTAGCGCTCGAGAAACGCAAGTCGACTCAGGCACTTGCACGCCGTCTGTGGATGTCCTTCGTCCTCCAGGGACGAGAGAGCCTTTTATTGGATGATATTATCGAGGTTCTTGGTTCCGGACGTGAAGAAGATGCGAAGGAATGCTTCGCCATGCTAGATCTCGATGGCAATGGTGACGTCAGCCTGGAGGAAATGATACTTACTGTCACCGAGATTGGGAGGATAAAAAAATCGATCAACAACAGCTTGCATGATGTGGATCAGGCAATTCATGTGCTGGATAGCCTTCTGTGTGTTGTCGTCTTCATTATGGTTGTCTTGGTTTTCGGTATGTTGCATGCAGACCACGCAATCCTTGCACTAATTAAACACATGGGAGAACTAACAATTTGAAATAGTTGCTTTTCTCAACACCGGATTTGGAACCACTCTTGCGGCGGGGGCGACTACTCTTCTTTCTTTATCCTTCGTCTTTGCCACGACCGCCCAAGAGGTCCTCGGCAGCACGATTTTTCTTTTCGTAAAGCACGCGATGGACGTAGGAGACAGAGTCGATATCGGGGATCGTCAACTGATTGTAGAACACATCTCTCTCCTTTACACCGTTTTCAGGGGTGTTCGAGATCACAAAACCTTTCAAGCGCCAAACATAGTTCTGAACACACAATGGATTGAGAACGTCACTCGTTCAAAGGCCATGCGCGAGCAGATCACTCTCACGGTGGATTTTGGTACCTCGTTCGCAGATATCCAGCTGCTCAAGGCCGAGATGCAGAAATTCGTCCGTGATAAGGAAAACTGCCGCGATTTCCAGCCAGATGTTGACATCGAGGTCGTCGGCCTTGGCAATATAGATAAGCTCGAGCTCAAAATCGAAATCCGCCATAAATCCAACTGGTCCAATGAGACTGTCCGAGCTGCCCGTCGGTCGAAATTCATGTGTGCATTGGTCCTTGCCATTCGCAAGATTCCCATCTATGGACCTGGCGGTGGAGATGCAGTGCTGGGCGACGTTACTAGGCCGTCATATTCTGTCTCCATATCGCCCGAACAGGCCCAGGCAAGCAAAGACGAGTGGGCTAAGGGTAAAGAGGGGAAACGGATGGTTCCCACAGATGAGATGGACAACTATTTCGCAGGTACCAAGGAGCAGGATGGTTCCGAAGGCACCTCCACCGCAGTGGAAGGCAGGTCTCCCGGTGACGGCAAACCCGTTTACCGGGGCGCTTCAACCCGATCAGTTCCTGCAAAAGACAAGGAAGCTTCTGTCGTCCAGGCACTGCATTCACGTCCACCAGCGATGGACCAAGCACGCATCGACGGATGTGAGATCCCCCGCGACAGCAACACTACCCCCTCCAAGAAGCACAATGGAGCAGGCGCAAGCGACAACGGAAGCGGGACTTCCAAGCCACACCGTGACGGGCCCCCAGTCGCCCGAGGAACATCCACAGGACGACGGACGGGAGTCCCAGCTACGAGATTCGTATCGCCCAAGACACCCATCAATGAAGCCGACGTGCCAACCCACACCGTGCCCCCAACCTCAGCACCCCCATCATTACCAGCAGCGGCAGCAACAGCAGCCAACCCACCGCTAGCGCAACATCCACCGCCCCAACCACCACCAACAACAGCCCTACCATCAACCCCTACACCCGAATACTATGAACTCACCGAACGGGACCGCCACCCGTCCTCCTATTACTCCTCCTCTTCTCCCACCGCCGATAATCCATACCTACCACCCCCATCGCCGCACCCATGCGCATCTCAAATGCAATCGCAGCCACTACAGCCCCCTCCAGCAGTTGCGTATGGAGGTAGTGGCAGCCGTGCTGATAATCTACCTCCACCGATCGCTCCAGGCCCGGGAGGAGGACCGTTACAGCAGCAGCCACCGAGACAGCTTGTGCCACCGCCGGGCGGGAATGCGTTTGCACTGCCGCCGCGGAATGAATACCAGTACTGACACCGGCAGCAACAGCAGTATCAAAATAGGATGATGATAGATAAAAATAGTTAGGAGTTTTTATTTGATTTATTTTTGATTTATTTTTGATCTATTTATTTTTTTGTTATTTTGGGGGGAATTTACGAAGATGGCTTGTATATACAAAATATATTAGAGAAGAATTTGGTTTCTAGACCAGTGGCAATGTACGAACATACTATTTGAATGTGACTATGGGTGGGATCTATGGAGGGCAATTGGCGGGGCGGTTGCATGCGTTGTTTTTGGATATTTTGAATTTTTTATCTAACCCATCTACTCCGTACGCTCTTCCCTATATATATAGTTATTATGATTTTTTTATATGTATTAATTATTATCTTGCGTCTTAACGGTTTTATGCCCTCTCTCAAACGTTGCTATATTGAACTAGCCCCGTTGACAAGAAGAGGGATTCGCGATATAATATTAATTCAGATTGTAATAGTTATAGTACAATTACTCGAAAATGCACTCAACCCGTGCTAAAAACAGCTTCAGCCATTCAGTCACAGCATTGCCCAAATGTTTCCATCCAACCATTCGTTTGCAATATCCCGTATATTATTCTATCACATATACATATATGTACTGTATGTACATGTACATACAGAGAGATACTGGGATTACCTAAAAAAAAACCATCTATCGTACAGAAACTATCGCTTTTGATAATATATAGGGGGGGGGAAGTGTTAAAACAAACAAGAACAAGAGAGGAAAGACCAGAATTCCCCCGGAAGTCTATACATGCAGGGGGATACAGCAAATAAAATAATACATGGGAAAAACATAGTAATGCACACGGGTATCTGGGTGTATGGGATATTGCGACTTTCATTAGCCTTTCGTAATGTTATGACCCTGCCATGGGATGGGGAAGATGGCGAAAGGCGTCCTGGGTTGACACGGTGACTGAAGGCTTTTTTAGATGGAGGTTCGAGTAGTAGGTGGAAGCAACGTGGGTTGGTTGCTTTTATTGGGAGGATGGGGCAAAAGTTTTGTGCTAAGAATGGAAGGGGAGGGGAGAAATGTGCGCTGTAGCGGAACCTCGTTGACCGCGTTGGCGTACGCGGCGGTCGAAATGCTGGGACTCGTTCTACTGGGGGTTGGAAAGGAGAAGGAGTTGATCGGATACCTCAATGGAGGGGTATCCCCCCCCCCCCGGCTACATTCAACAGCCCAAGGCAGACAATGGTTATCCACCCGCCCAACGTCAATATATGTCCCCATCTCCCATCTCCATACACGCATATATCACGGGCAGATCACGACATATTATTTATATCTCACTTCGTCTCCTTCCACGGATACGAGACCGGGTCATCCTTCCTGAGCCAAATCTTCGTCCGCCGCTTCGTCGTCACATGTTCCACGAACGCCTCGCGGGTGTACTTGGCTTTAAACTTGCGGATCCAGCGCGGGTCCCAGAGCTCGCTGGCCACGCCTAGGTCCTTACAGCAGCGCATCATGGCGTTGGACTTGCAGCCCTCTGTCGCGGTGGGGATGCCGTCGGGGGAGAAATAGTCTTGTTCGCCGCGCGCGACGGAGACAAGGCTATTGGGAGGAAAAATATTTGTTAGTTTATGTATATTATAGAATGGTTTCTGGAGGAAGGGATATAGAGTAAAAATGAAGGGGTCTACGAACCGGCCATGCGCAACGAGCGCGTACTCCCTCGTCACAGTCTTGGCTGTGACGATACTCTCACCCCGCGGTGCAAGCCCCCAGCCGCCCGGCCCAAACGCTTTATTCAATATACGTCGATATTTAATCTCGGGGAGGTAGACAATACCATCTGGCTTTATCTCGACGTCTTCTGGGTTTACCTCTTGGAGGAGGACTGCGGCTGCTTCCTTTGAGAAGGGCTCGGCGCTGAGCCCGTGGAATGAGCGCGTCCAGTCGACATGGTCTTTGCTGTTGTTGTTGTTTTCGGTGGAGTTTGAGATGCCAAGGTCTTTGGGCTTATCGTCTAGGCCCGTCTTGCTGAGATTTTGGACGGTGGTTGTTGTTGGTGTCGGTTTTGAAGGGGTGGTGGTACTGGAGTTTGAGTTCGACGAAGAGCTGGGGGAGGGAGACGAGGAAACGGGTGGTTTTGCAGGAGTAGTGGTCGGGGCAGGAGAGACAGGTTTAGAGGCCGCAGATGTTTTAGATGCTGTGTATTGCGACTGGCGATATGTTGATGGGCTGGTTATGGAGCGGAGAGGAATGTAGGCGAGCTGAGCTCTGGACGAGACGGATAGTCCTGCTTTCCGCGGTGAGTGGAGAAATTCTGCAGTCCGACTGACTGTGCGGAGTGCACGAGATGCCATTATAAGGGATGAGCTGGCTGGATACGTAAATGCCAGTCAGTCAGGTTAGATAGTCAGTGGTTGTGGTGTTGAAGCTGTGAGGGTTGTGTCTCGTCGATTGCTGCGGATGTTTTTTTGGAGCTTGGAGGTGGAAGCCAGATCCCGTGACACAGAGATAAATATTTAAATATTTATTAAAAGCGTTAAATATTTAGATTTCTATGACAGAAAACATCAATTGAAAGACGGGAAACCAGAATATAATAGTAATATACATAGAGAGATAATACACAGAGTGGGGGATTTCCTTTTACACAGATCCAATTACGCCTATCCTTTCCCTCCAGTCAAGAGTCTTTTGACTCCGTTCGCTGCTCATTGCCATGGCGTTTCCAGCATTCCCGGAACGCCTCCATCTGTAGATTGAAACAGGACTAAGTCAGTATTTATATAGCCTTCTAATGTACTCAGCATGCATGTGTTACGAGATACAGTGGATGTACTGGAGTTTAAGCTGGGGCGCATAAATAATAGCCTGGCGGGGTTGAGAAAGCGCTCGGCGGCCAAAAAGCCTTGGACGTACTTCTTTTTTACATGCTCGCCAGTCTCTCTTCTCGTAGTAGCAATCGTTCATCTTCAGCTGCTCCGCTGTTGTCCCCAATGGCCTCTCGTTAGCATCCCCCCTTGCCGTCTTTAAAAAGGGTCGCCGTCTTACCTGCGCATCCGGTGCTGAAGATCCGCTTGTCCCTACAGAATTGGATTGGAGCGTTAGCCGACCAGTCCAAAGCGAAGACCTTGTTCCCTGGCCCCAGGAGACGGAGAAGAGAGGGTTCATACCATTCATCAGGTTCATCATCGTCCACTGTCTGCGTTACCGGCGGATTGTTCTCTGATTTGGACATTGCGAGGAAGTTTCTTTTGCTGTGGTTGGAGAGAAGTAAAGACTGTGGAGGTTCTGTGGCCGGAGATCGATATAAAACAAATTGATTCGTACTTAGAACAATTTCCCCGCCACGCGGAGGAACCATCTACTTCACTACTACAAAATGGCCACCAACCCCGTCCTCCTTTCCAAAAGGTTGAACGTGCTGGTCTACTCCGGTGCGCAAACCTACTCTGATTGGAAAGGCAATATTCTGACCCCCGCTGCTCCAGGAAATGGAACTACTGTCGATGCCGTCCGCCACTGCCTCTACTCTTTCCGCCGGCTCCTGTCTGCGAACTACGCCGTGATCCCCGTCACGGGGGAGATGATCGTCAACGAGCCTTGGACTGCTTCCTGCGCGCTGCTGGTAATGCCCGGTGGCGCGGACCTGCCGTATTGTCGGACTCTCAACGGAGAAGGTAACCAGAGAATTGGTCAATTCGTCCAGCGGGGTGGGGCATACCTGGGGTTTTGCGCTGGCGGTTACTTTGCCAGCAAACGATGTGAATTCGAGGTCGGGAACAAGAAACTGGAAGTTGTCGGTGACAGGGAGCTGGCCTTCTTTCCCGGGACCTGTCGAGGGTGCGCTTTTCCCGGATTTGTTTACGATAGTGAGGATGGTGCTCGAGCCGCGGAGCTCAAGATATCAAAATCTGCACCGGCGTTTGGGTCTGTGCCGGAGGTCTTCAAGGCTTATTATAATGGCGGGGGCGTTTTTGTTGATGCGCCTAAATACGCGGACCAGGGTGTAGAGGTTCTTGCAAGTTACACAGAAGATCTCAGCGTGGATTCCGGAGAGGGCTCCGCTGCCATTGTCTACTGTAAGGTGGGCGAGGGGGCAGCAATTCTAACTGGGGCTCATCCCGAGTTTGTATTCCCTGCAAAGCCGATTGATAGCTGGGTACTGACGAAGTCCAGGTTTGCTGCTTCCAATCTCGACAGGAAGGCAGATGGCCCCGAATATGATAAAGTCGTCGATGCCTTGGCTGCAGACGATGAAGCGAGGGTGGAGTTTTTGAAGGCTTGTTTGACGAAGTTGGGCCTTCAGGTTACCCAAGACTCAGCCCCTGTGCCATCGTTATCCAGACTGCATCTCTCCTCTCTGAGTCCTCAGGGGGTTGTTGGGCTGCTCTCTGCCCTTCGAGATATCATTACCGTGACTGATGGAGAGGAGTATATCAAAGATGATGCGGACACTTTTCATCTCGAGAAACCATCGTCCATGGGCATGAGAGACCTAGCTGAATCCCTACCTGCAGAAACTGCGAAAACTGATCAAGGAGACGATTCTGACAAAGTTGTCGATAATAATTCTATTATTAAAGAAGTAGTTGTCCATGACGACATTCCGTCGTCTAAGGCTACCCCTTGCTTCAACCACCACGCATTCTACGGAAATCTCAAAGAGTACCGCGCACAGTCGAAAGAGCATATTCACGAATTCGGCTCAAATATATTGTACGGAGAGGTCGTCACGAGCACAAGTACCCTCCTAGAGAAGTATGGACTTCACAGCCCGCCCTGATTTTCGCTCTCCTTCTAAAAGGCAATGTCCGCCTGCTTACACAAACTATAGGAACACCCAACTACTACGGAGACTCCCACATGGGTTCGTGGCTACTGCAACAGTCCAAGTGGCCGGAAGGGGCCGCGGGTCTAACGTCTGGGTCTCGCCATCCGGTCAACTAATGTTTTCAGCTGTCGTCAAACATGCCGTTGAGAAAATGGCACGTGCTCCCGTGGTGTTTATACAGTATATCGCCGCCATCGCTATCGCCCAGGCCATCAAGAGCTATGATAACGGATACGAAAATATGCCAATAAAGCTGAAATGGCCAAATGATATCTGTAAACATGGCCTCTCCCGCCCCTCCCCTTTCCAATGCTCTCCGTTAATAACCATCTAATCCAATCCCCATTTAACTCCACAGACGCTCTGGACCCTACCCAACCTGACTCTAAATCCTACACAAAAATAACCGGCATCCTCGTAAACGCCCACTACTCCTCCGCAGAGTACATCGCCGTCGTCGGCATCGGCATAAACGCCCTAAACCCTTCCCCGACCACCTCCCTAAACGCCCTCCTATCCGCTCTCGAGCAAAAATCACCCACCAATAAAAAGCTACCGCCACTTACCCTCGAGAAACTCCTCGCCCGCATCCTCACCACCTTCGAGTCCTTGTATACCCGATTCCTGCGCACGGGCTTCGATCAGTATTTCTTCGACTCGTACTACGCAGACTGGCTGCATATGGATCAGATCGTCACCCTGGAGGCGGAAGGTGGGGTGCGTGCGCGTATCAAGGGAATTACGGGTGATTATGGCTTACTTGTGGCGGAGGAGTTGGGGTGGGAGGACCGCCCCACGGGAAAGATGTGGGAGTTGCAGAGTGATAGTAACAGTTTTGATTTCTTCAAAGGGTTGATTAAGAGGAAGGTTTGAGTTGGGTTGGAGGTAATATGGGGGGATGTGAATAGGATATGGGAATGAGCTATCCTTGTACTGCAGACGGACGTGGTGGATGAGCCTCGGTGCGATTCAGGTAAATGACTGCCGTGATACAACCACTTATGTAGTTACGTGATGCTTTGAGGGATTTTTCATGTTAACCCCCTGTAGCGAGATGTTGATCGTTGCGGTTCTAGATGTAGAGATACATATTATACTCTCTGTTCCTCGTAAAAAATGCCTTTCGTCGGATTTTTATTCCTTTATCGCCCCCTTAACATAGGGGAATATATATATGATGTATTGACAAAGTGTATTTTTTCTTAAAAGCTCAAAAGTCTCTCGTATCAATTGACCCATCGCCCTCTTCTCTTTTCCCCATCTACGTGTGTTCCCTCGAAAAATACTAGAAGATGAACCAATAATGAAAACTGCCCCAAAAAACCAAAAGTGAAATCTTGAACAGGTTTGGAAATCAAAATAAAAAGAATCAAAAAAATAGGAAGTGATGAGTTGAAATGGAAAAAAGTGAAATATCTTTATTGTTTTTGTTCATTTGTAACATTATCCATCAACAACTAGGCAGAGTAAGGGAGATTATATGTATAGACAATATACAATATACAATATACAATATATGACAGGAATACCTCTTTTACCCCTTTTCATCTGGCAAGTCTCCTGGCAATTCACGTTCTTTGAAAATGTATACACCACGTATTGTTCGCGTTTGCGTTTATGATGGAGAAAAGGGGTAGTAGAGAGAGAGATGTAGAGGATCTTGCTTCCTTCGCCTGTCTTTTTTTTCCTTTCTTTCTCTTTGTAACGGGTAAATATCGATTGTCTCTTTCTGGTAAATGTATTGTTAGATGGTGTATGGTATAGGTATGCTGTGTAGCGTTTTCTCGCGAAATAGAAAGGGCAAAATTGAAGTGATGTCTCGCTGGGTGAGCCTAGGCCCTTTATTTCCCGCTTCCTTTTGGGAATAGGTCTTATTAGGGTGAAAGAAAGCGGGGGCCAGAGGAGGGGTGAGTTGTGGTGCTTGTAGGGGGCAAAGAGATGAGAAAATGTTGCTGAAAAGGGGTGACCTGATATTAGCCATGCAGGTGTGATCGGGAATGATAAAATTCTGCTGGTGAGCTTTTTTCTTCGTGGGCTTCCATACCTTTCCTACATACGGAGTAGTAATATTGGATTTTTATTTCATAGCAAACCAACCAAAGGCAAAAAGTTCATCGTACACTCTCCTCGTAGCTCAATGGGTACACGAATCAATGGACAGAATAGATCACTTAGGTTTATTCAAATCCGATTTTCTTTTTTTTAAGGGCAGGCATTTACTCCTCAACAGTAAACTCGAAGGATCTATCCCCCTTTCCAATGGGAATCTGCTCTGCCTGGTCGTTATACAGCGTCCGCTCAAAATACTTCACCCGCCCAGATTCATGCACAAGAACAACCGTCTGTGTCTGCGTCCCATACAAACCCTTCATATACGCATGATGATCCATCGGCCCATTAGCCACCACGTCAACCTTCTCCCGCAGCTTCGATGCACACACTTGGTCGACGGTATGTTTAATCTCGGCATCGTCCCCAATAACTGGGATGAAGATACTCTCGCGCAGCAGATTGATATACGTCTCTAAATTCCCCCCCTCGCGCAATCTCGGTAGCGTATCCCTACTCAGCAACCCCAGCAATCGCTGCACAAACGCATCCTCGCCCTCGTCCAGTTTCACAGAGGTATCAATCGCCTCCTTCAGAAGCCTCTCCCCATCCACAATCTTCCGCCACGACCGGTCTCCAAATGCCGTATTGCTCAGCCCGACCGTCTGCCCCTTTTCAGTTGCTATCCACTCAATACCATCCGCTGCCGAGACGCGGTTGGACACAACAGCCAAAGGGCCCCGTACGTTGCCGCAGGCCAGACTGAAGCCGCCAGCCAGCTGGGCTTCGCCGCTTGAAACCAGCTCCTCGGCATACTCCTTGGCGCTTATTGTACTGTCTGGAGGCAATTCGAGGAATGAGTTGACGATGGAGCCTCTGCTACGCACGCCCACTACTTGCTTATCGGGGTCTTCGCGGTAGTTTGTCAGCACCGCGATGCGGCCTTGCTGTGTGACGCCTAGCCAGGTTCCGTGGACTTCTCGTGCTAGGTCTCGAGAACCTAGGACATGGGATTTGCCGTCGGGCCACCAGCTTGCGGGGGCTGTCGGGCGGTGGAGGAATTCCTAGTTGATGTTAGTATGGTATAGATATAAGATATCATTAGAGACATTTGGGACAGTCTGGGTAAGCGTGATGAGTATAGGAATTGGGAGGGTTTATCAAGGGAGATCTTATACATACATCCCGATTATCGATTAGAATTAGTGGGTAGGAGGGGTGAGCGGTTGAAACGAGAGCTATGCACATTGTTGGGAGTCGAAACCGGGGAAGAACGTAGTGCGTCGAAATGAGTTTCCCTAAAAGGGTTCTTGCGGTTTTTTTCCTTTTCCCTCTCTTTTCTGTCTAGATGTCTATTTTCTATCGACTGTTAATATACGAGGCAGACAAAATTCTAGCAGATATGGTACAACAAATTGGTCAGAGTTAATATTCCCACATGCCACAAACGGCCGGTACCTGGTGTGCGCTGGCAGATTTCCTAGAGCCCGCTATTTATAGAGAAGCTTTCTGAGAACAAAGAGCACCACTCTAAATCCCGGGCTTAGAGTCAACAAAAGAAAAAAAAAAAAAAAAAAAAAACTGACGATAAGCAGCTATGTGTCGTGGAAACACGTTGTTGCGGAATTGCGCGGTTGCAAGTCGGGCGAGGCGCTCGTGAGTGGCGTTCTCTTGGCTTCTGGGTTGGCCTGCCGAGGTTGAAGGAGTCGCAGAAATGAGTGTTAGGCAGTGGAAGAATACAGCTTGTCAGGAAAGCTATGGAAAAATAGATGAGCCAAGTCTATATTGAAGCCAGGTTGGTTTGTCTATAGTATGCGTTATATGGGCTGGAGAAGGAGGGATGTTGATGCATTCAATGACGTTGGTTATTCTGCTGGTGCCAAGACAATTTATGCCAGGTTTATCTTATCTACCGCATCATGCAACCATCATCAACAGATAAACAGGACATAACTATAGCTATAGCTATGATTATCAAGCCATTAGGCTGGTATAAATGGAAGACTAATAGTAATTTATTTTACTTCCATTTCTGTTTTGACCCATTATCACAACCTAGTTGGGTTTCGCCATTCAGCCATCAACGCCGTAACGAAGATAGGGGATGCAAATGACACCAAGGGAATTACATTCTGAAGGCATCATCAGTACACCGCAGGTGAGAATTTCACGACACACAAGCCTAGTGACAAGTTAGTGCTAATCGACATTTCTCCATCCTTCTTCTGCACTCCCTCGTCCAGCCCTTCTTATTTGAACAAGATTCAACCACTCCGATTCCAGTCAGCGGGATAATCTATTTCCCGAGTCAAAGTATGTTTTCTGCCAGCACGAAATTTGACGACATATATATACCACCCGTGGACGATGGCGACAACCCAAATCGCCAAACTTTGACTTTTAATCTGAGAACGGTGTAGAAGTTTAAATAGAGTACAGTTCTTCCCCATCCGTCGGCCACAGCTACATGTATGTAGCTTCCTTCAGCTGCGCGCCACGAATTACCTATGATAGTCGAACCCAAATTCCCCATCGAGAACTATCAGATCCTCACATCATCGTGGAATATTTGCAAAGGGTTAGATTTGATGTCATAAAACGTTGGCATAAAAACTCAATCATGCAAAATATATCATCCGCATAGCGTTTGGAAGATAATATTGTGAGAAAATTCACTTTAGATCAAAGTTGTTGTTATTATTTTTCCCTGGACACTCGTGAGTCCGAAACCAGAGGATTGAAAGGATTGGAAATCCTAATCCTTCAAAATCCACAGGACACGAAAATCGAGAGAGGGCAGACACGGAGCTCCATGAATCGGTCTAGACTGGTTACTGATCCAGGTGTTATGATTAGCAGCCGAAGTCAAGGAGAGGGGAAGGAGGAAATAGTAGGAATCTTGCGAGAGTATATGTCGTTGAGAATTCCATAAAATGATACTTTCTCGCGTGACAAAGGTATCCAGTTCCTGGGGTATTTAGAAGGTAATACGAACAATCCTGTATAACGCTCAATATAACGCTCTTCGAAACCGCCGTTAGCAAACTCGATCCAGGATAGAACCCTATATTTAAACTCTAGAAGATTCCCGAGTAATTAACTCTCTAAGAGCGTTAAGTTTCATTCACTGCTGAAATGTATCTCCTCACCTATTGGAACGATGAAGCCAGAGCATACCTGCTCAACGGTATGTTCTAGGTAGGGTAGGCATGGGGTGCACAACCTCGAGAGATCCTTTCCAGGGCAACCTACTAGTAGGCAAAAAGTGTATAAAAATGAAGTCTAGCTTTTTCCGACTGCGAATTAGGCTTTTGTTGCAGTAGTTAATAATTGTCGGCCCATATATTACTGAGAGTTCCGTGGTTGGAGGCGTTGGAAGAGCTTATCCCAGTTGACTAGTTACGTCAGAGCCCTAGTTACAGGATCTGATTAGGGTTAGAGTTGCGCAAACCCTAACCTTCTGCCCGCATAAACATCGTCGACAAGCAAATAAATAATAGCCCGATCTCAACACACATAGTTCCAAGTTAATTTATTTTAACCTCTTTGGGTTTCAACTTGCGGTCACATGTAGGCTATAGAGGGCGATTTGGCAGTTCAGACCTCGGTAGTCATGTATACATGATGTACTGTACATGTACATGTACATGTAGGATTCTGGGTGGCTCAAAGGCCTCGATCCCACAATACCACCGCTCTTCCCTGCAGTCACATCACATCAGTAAACGTGTTTATTCTGACCGAGGAACTTGGATTGACGGAGGGGTATTCTGTGACTGTGCATAATAATCCCGCAAGCGAGCCGATCGTTGGACTGGATTGAGTTCGCGGTCTGGGAAGTTTCTGAAGCTACGCCGCTATGCTACGGAGAGTTCAGGTGGAAGCTAAGCAGCACTAAACGCATGGAACCCTGCTACTGTCAAGTACTGCGGGGGCTTGCCACCAGTTTGCCAGAGCTAGAAAACTGATCTCGGCCTCTGGTTGGCTGCGGCATTATCAATCTCCCATCAGATACGCCGAAAAGGCCTAGCCGCATCTGATAAAAATTTCTCCCCCCTCCCAAGCTCCCTGCTGTAGAAGGAAGATGCGCGACAAAACCCAGCTGTGCTTAAGGTTGAACTCAAGGCAGGGAAAAAAAGAAAAGAAGAAAGCCTGTTGGATCGCTTCCCAAACACAGGACAATGTTAGGGTTTTACCGGCTTTATCTAGTGCTGTCAGGTCCTGGTTTCCTTTTGATGCGTCGAGGGATCTTTAAAATGCAGCCCCATGCCCGCATCCGAGCCCGGAATTGGCCCTTTGTTTCTTTTCCTCTTCATAAACCGAAGGATTGCTTGCTTACATCGATCAACTCGTCTATATCTACTTCAGTAAATACTTGGATCTTGTCTATTCAATTACCACCTTGATCGTCTCTACTCAATAACTACCTGGATCGCATCTGCGCAATAACCACCCAGACCTAACCATTCGATAACTACTCGAATCCTATCTATCCAACAGCTGCTTTTAACTGTGATCTATCTCATTAATTACTTGGACTTTTCACCCCGCGACTCTCCGTTGATTCACCATGGGAGCTGCTGAGGATAGCAAGGAGGCCATGCCTCCGCAGCCGGTGGAGGTGGATATGAAAGAGAAGCACCCTGCAGCTGACCCCGGAAACGCAGGCCAGGATGACCAGTCGCCGGTTCTCCTGGGAGAGAAAAGTCCTGGTGTTGCGCGGATCGAGGTTATTTCTCGTTACTTCACGCTTCCAGATCGTATCATGTTCTTTTTTGGTATATTCCTTCTCGCCTATGCTTATGGCTTGGACGGGACGATTCGTTACACCTATCAGGTTCGTCAACGTCTTTTCCCCACTGGAGAGCATCTGTTGCCAAAAAACAGAGAAAAATCCAAAGTACTAACTGAATATCACCGCAAAAGCCTTATGCCGTTGCTTCATATGCCGAACATAGCTTGTTAGCAACAGTTAATGTTCTACGAGGCGTCATTGGTGCTGCTGCCCAGGTATGTTCCTTCTTTAGTCAAGCATATAGATACTGCGATACTGATTACTCCATATCTAGCCAACCATCGCAAAAATTGCTGATGTGTTTGGTCGCGCGGAGGTTATCTCTGTTACTATTGTATTCTATATCATTGGTACGTGATATTCTTCACTTTGACGGAAAATGCTTCTACTTGCAGATTTAGCTTACGATAATTATAGGTACCATTGTTGAAGCTTGCGCGACTAATGTGCAATCATTCTGCGCCGGTGCTGTCCTATATCAAGTGAGATAATATGTTCCATGTCCCACTGCAACTCTTTGTGCCCACTAAAATCTAACCCTGGTTTTTCTTTTCCAAAAAGATTGGATACACCGGCATCATGTTGCTTGTAGAGGTTCTGATTGCCGACACAACATCTCTTCGATCCCGTCTATTTTTCTCTTACATTCCCGCATTACCATTCCTTGTAAGTTTGAACCTTTGATGATTCGTTCTGGGTTCAAAAATATCCACTAACCGGTCCTAGATCAATACTTGGGTGAGCGGAGATGTCACGAATGCTGTTTTGGCCACTACAACTTGGCAATGGGGTATTGGAATGTGGGCAATCATTTACCCAGGTATTTTAACTTCCGTCCTTACAATCTACTCTCCGCGCAAAGGAAAAAGTAGGATCAGAAAAGAAAACTAACATAGTTTATAGTTTGCTGCCTGCCCTTGATCATATCTCTATTCATCGTCCATAGAAGAGCAAAGAGAGATGGCGCTCTTGAGAAGTACAAAAGCTCGTATGAGCTTATGGGTGCTCGCCAGCTTTCAAAAGCTCTCTTCTGGCAGTTGGATGTAATCGGCATCATCCTTTTGATTGCCATTTTGGCGCTTATCCTTGTCCCTTTTACTCTTGCCGGTGGAGTAGAGACCCAATGGGCAAAGGCCAAGGTGATCGTACCGCTTGTCGTTGGGTTTTGTTGCATTCCTGCCTTCATTCTCTGGGAAAAGAATTGCAAACATCCCATGCTTCCATTTAAAGTAAGCCCTCACACCATTTATATTCGATATTTGCCGTCTTCTTTAAGTACTAACACAGCTTTGCTCCCAGCTTCTGAAAGACCGCGCGGTCTGGGCTGCTCTTGGACTTGCAATGATGCTTAACACCGGTAAGGACCACTCAAGTTCTCTGAAAGATTCTGGAGCCTAGGCTAATCTTCCATCCTTTTTTACTTTACCATTCCACAGCATGGTATCTTCAGGGAGACTTCCTGTTTACGGTGTTAATTGTTGCCTTTGACGAGTCCATCAAAAGTGCCACCCGTATCACGTCCCTGTACAGCTTTGCATCTGTCATCACAGGTTGTATCGCCGGCCTACTTGTCATGAAGATTCGCCGGCTTAAGGCCCTTATCATCTCCGGAACACTTCTTTTCATCGTGGCATTCGGTCTCCTCATTTACTTCCGTGGAGGAACGAGCGGAGCTAATCAGTCCGGGATTATTGGTGCTCAGGTCTTGCTCGGTATTGGTAAGTCCAACTCACAGCTCAATTCAACCCCAAAACACCCCCCACCAGATTTAATATTGACAATGCTAATCTCCTATTCAAAGCTGGGGGTTTATTTCCCTATTCCGCCCAAGCAAGTATCCAAGCTGCAACGAAACATGAACGTAAGTACCCCCTCTCTTCCTCAGTCCGTGACAACAAACAACAACCACAATCAAAAGGCACCCTTGTTACAAATCCAACTAACCCTTCACATAGACGTGGCCGTTATCACCGGCTTGTACCTCGCAAGCTACAACATCGGCAGCGCAGTCGGCAACGCTATCTCTGGCGCAATCTGGAACCAAGTGCTTCCGGGCACTATCAAGGACCGAGTCGGTGACATTATTGACGCGGGCACGATATACGGCAACCCGTTTGGATTTGCTTCGGAATATCCCGTTGGCACGCCAGTCCGCGATGGCGTTATTGATGCCTATCGTCATGTCCAAAGGCTGCTGTGCATTACTGGTATTTGCCTCAGTGTGCTGTTGGTCGTCTTTGCCGTATTGCTCCGTGACCCCGTTCTGGGAAAGACTCAGAGTCTTGAGGATGCGGAGAAGCTATCGATCTCGTCGGCTGAGGAAGAGAGTTCGAGATGATTGTGTGAGGGTTTATTTGTTTTATTCTTTTGGTTTTCTTTTTTCTATTTTCTTTTTCTCTTTTTTCAAGATCCCCGGTTAAAAGCCTTACTCCCTTCATATTGTTTGTTTTTGTTTGTTTTCAACGATGCCCCTTTTGATGTTTATTTATAGATACTGTCCATGGAAGAGGATGTATATTGATTTATTGAGTTCAAACGGCTTCGGATGGTTTTGGGTACAGGTTTTGGGTGGTTTCCAGTGCTTTTCCAAATGGTTTCCTGTTTATATACGATTCCCGAGTTCTAGATGATTCCCTATGTTTCTGATATGATATAACTCTAATATTAATGTCTTATTTTTTTTATTTTTTTTTATAATGATATCCAGTCCTCACAAAGCAAATATTTTGCAGGCCCCTATGAAACTCGGATTTCAGTCATAAGCGGCGAGTTATATTCTTATCATTATATGCTTACTAGCATTCAGCACCTAGTCAAGGTGAATGAGTGGCATATAAAATATAGAGAGTAGTTCGTTCCGTGACATGAAACTTCCATACTATATAGTAACTAGTAACTAGCCATGGTAAATTTGAGTGTCAGTGCGACCCCAAGGATAACAAGGCAAGTACCTACATTAATGCGGTATTGTATAGATAGATATAGCTATGACAGGCTATATACAAATCGTTCTCAGCTAAGATGGGAAAGGAGCTCTGCGCCAAGCAAGGCCCAGCCTTAAGTTAATAGCCGAGGCCAAACGGGAAGTCTCCCGACCGACTGGGCCAAGCGCTAGACTAACCTAATTCAACCCCCAAGCAAACCCTATGACGACAAGCAACTAACTATAACGGTTCAACTTCCACCCCCCCCCCCCCCCCCAAAAGCCCCAGCCCCCCCCCCAGCCAGATCCATCCCCCGCTGCCCATCACATCACACATTCCCTCGCTGCCAGCGATTATTACTCGCGATAGTTCTGGAGAAACAGGGTGGTTAAGGGACACATCCGGTGATCTAGCAGCTGTCTTTGCAGTGGGTCTCGATTATTATTCTGGCCTTGACTCTGCCGCTCTTGCAAACTACACAGCCTTCCGCTTCTGCACTTCCGCCCCGCTTGTCTTTTTCTAGGGCTCTACGGAGTATATATATTCCCATTGAAGCAAGATCTGGGATCCTATATATTTTCTTTTTTTTCTTTTCTTTTTTCCCCTTTTCTTTTTCTGTTTTAATCCTAGACCGGTTGGCCAATCTGCCTACAATGTTTGGCATCATTGCGGATTTACTATCGTGAGTCTCCCGCTCTCTGATGCTTGACCTGATTGATATTGGAGCTCTGGTTTTATATATATAGCTCTAAAGGTTTTACGATCAAGCCCACAATAAGCCTCCTAGCGATCAAAAATACTGACCGGACTTCTTTTTCCGCTTCGCCTATAGCTCCGCGCTCACCATCCTCTTCCCTATCTTCGCATCTTACAAAGCACTCCGAACCTCCGACCCTTCCCAATTGGCACCATGGCTTATGTATTGGGTTGTAATGTCTATAGTGTTGCTGGTTGAATCCTGGACATATTTCATCGTCAGATGGTATGTTACAGTGCAAGAAAACACCCAATCAAACCCCCGGCACGTTAGGTACTTGTTCTGTTTTGTGTAAACACTAACCCCGGCGCACTTCAATACAGGTTCCCATTTTACAGCTGGATCCGCCTCTTCGCCCTCTCCTACCTCGTCCTCCCGCAAACCCAAGGCGCCAAGCTGCTCTACCAGCAATACATCGACCCCTTCCTCCTCCTCTACGAGCGTGAAATCGAACAATTCATCAGCCAAGCACACGACAGCGCCAAATCCGCCGGCCTCGAGTACCTCTACAAAGCCATCGACTTCATTCGCGAAAAGGTCCTCGGCCTGCCCACCACCGCCCCTCCTCCCCCGCAACCACCGCCGGCAGCCGGAGCAGCGGGTTTCGCCCAATCCTTACTATCCCGCTTCACCATCCCTGGCGCCGCGGGTGCCGCATCCTCACTTGCCGGCCCCGCTGCGGATCTGTACTCCCTGCTGGCCACCGCTGTGGGGTCAGCAGCCACCTCGGGGAAAACCAGAGACATGCAGGCTGAGGAGCTTAGCGCCAGCGGCAAGCTGATTCCTGATAGCATTGCCACGGCGTCGAAGGCGGAGCAGGCGGAGTATATCGCGTCGCAGAAGGAGCGGCTTGGGGTCCTTTTATCGGCGTTTGATCGCGAGCAGCGGAACCTGCGGCTGGATCCGAGGGGTGTCGGGGTTAGTAGTGATCAGGATGATTTGGCGTATGGGAGTAGTGGGTATGATGAGTATGAGCGGGGAGCGGGGCTGAGGAAGAATCGGAGTGATGTTTCGTTTGAGAATATTGAGCATGAGGAGTTTTTGGCGGGGGGCAGGGAGGGGAGGCATCATTCGCGCAGCCCACACCGGAGGAAGGGGGGGGATGATGTGGCGGATTTTGCGAGGAGGTCTGTGGAGGAGATTGCGAGGGCTTCGGGCGTTTATCGGTAGAGAGGGTTATCGGCTTTTCGTATCTAGTGCGGATTTTCTTATTCCCTGTTTTAATGCTTCCCTTGTTCTTATTTTTTAACTTTTATGGTGTTTGCTGTCATCCCTTGTGTTGCCGGTGGCGCATATATACGTACATGTCTTGTCCACATGTACTAGAAATCAAAGATCGCATATCATGAATTCATGAGTTGATATACCCTTTCGATTATATTCATCGCCCCAATGGCGGTTGTTTCCTCGCACACGACCCGACCCAGGGGACCAAAGGCGCGAACGCAGATAAATCCACAATGCTATTATCAGACATGGCTGCCCCTGATATATCTAGCTGGGTAGACTTGGACTTACCCAGCACACACACTTCAAAGATACCTACCTACCTACCTACCTACCTCGGCGATTTTACAGCAATACTATATAGCTGATCATACGGGAAGATGGTGGAGCATAGAGGTTGTATGCGAGGCAAGCCATAGCGTGTATGTGTGTGTGTGAATCTCTAGAGCTCTCAGCTCCTTCCTTTATCTCCCCTTCTCACCCCGATATTGTTTCCCCGTCTCTAAGACGGTCTCTTTTGATTCTGCAGTGAAGGGAATACGCCGAATATATATATATTTTCCATATCTTATACGATGAACAGGGAAGTATAGTTATTTACTATATCTATCAAAGTACCCGCCGGTGCGCACGTCTACATCCCATACAGTCGCCATCCCCCGCCCCCCGCCGCCCTCCCCCCAAACGCTCTACATATGCGTTTACGGGAGGAATCACAATCACATTCTCTACCCCTTCATTGAATTCCAGCATCTTTTGTACTTTTTGTTTTTTGAAAGGTGCGTACAGTGAATTATGTCCCTGTGGATTAGAACTTCGAGACATTTCATCCAGTGAATATGAAACACGAACATGAACATACCTTCTTCCATCTCGTACTTACCGTGTCTCAACGATATCCTACCCTCTCTCGGCTCTTTTATTAACAAAATTCCATCTAGAACAGACAAAAAAAATAAAAAATAAAGATGATTCGGTTCCCTCAACGACAGAGAAGGCGTCCGACACTACCGAAAAAGATCGAACCCCTTCCCGCCGCAGCAATAGATTCAACAAAACAAGAGCTAGAAGCCGAATCACAGCGGCAGCAGCAGCAAGTGGAGAGAGACGCGTCCCTTGAATACCCGCCGCCGCTCCCACAAAAGCACCCAAGATCGTACATATACCAGGCATCGGGAAGAGTACACCCCCGCTCCCCTTCAGAGAACCAGAGTAGTAGCAGTAGCCATAAACGCCAAAAGCTAGATGAAGCGCGGAAAAGGGAGCCGGGCAAATTCTCCACGACCCTGAGTTCGCTGGACAATCGAAGCAATGCTACTGCTTTTGACGATGATGCGAGCTTCAGATATGCGGGACAGCCCGGGCCTAGCATGTTTGGGTTCGAGGTGATGGAAGGAATGTGTGGCATTTCTGGCTTCTGTGGACGCGACGATGACCATCAGCAGCACCAGCAGCACCAGCAGCACCAGCAGCACCAGCAGCACCAGCAGAAACAGACGGGAACCGCACGGCGACAGGACCTCCTAGCCCAACTACGCGCGCTGGAAACACGACAGCTAGAGCTGGATAGTTGGGAGAAGAGCGTGGAGGATAAGTTTGCCTGGCTGGATAGTGCGCGCGAGGCGGCGGAGAAGAAGCTTGCGTGGTTGACGAGGGAGGAGGAGGCGATGAGGCGCATGTTGATGTGGTTGCCTGATGAGCTGCGGGTGGTGGAGGAGAGGCGGGCACAGGCTGTGCGGGAGCTGGCGGCCACTGAGGGGAGGGGAGAGACGGTGTTGAATCCGCTTGAGGGGTTGGAGGGTGGAAGTGGGAATGGGAATGGGAAGGGGGGAGCGGGAGGGGAGAAGGATGGCATTGTGACTGATGAGGAGATGATTGGGTAAATGGTTATTAAATATCATTATCTTCATGGTGACATCAGGAGGTTCTTGTACAGCGCTTGCCAGGTTGTTTTTCATGTTGACTTCCAGGAGTTCGTTATCACTATTATTAGATTATTGGTTATGGTTATAGACTGGGTTTTTCTTTGCCTTTGGGCTTCATGCGGGCATAGAATGGAAAATGACAACGATGAGAAAGGTCCATTCAACTTTTCATAATATGAATCTCACCCTCACTTGATACTACAGATTTAGGCCTGAAGTAGTGCTAGAAACAGCTGCTTTCAACTCCCACAGTGCCCAGGTGCAGTCTGGAGTTAACATAGCTACTTGCATATAGTCTTCGATATCAATTCAATTCATTCCCTTCCCTCCATTCAGTTCTTTTATGGTGTTTATTTAACCAAAGCCCATTACTCAATCAATTAGAATTACCGCCATTTCTCCTTCTCCGAATTTGAGAGGTGATAAGTTCAAGCAGACTGAATATAGAGCTAGGGGTTCTCATCCCGGAAACTGATGACGGAGCTCCTTAACTTTGAGCTCTGAGATATGGCCTTCTCAGCGTCGAATTGGTGGTAAGGACAGAATGACAGCGCGGTTTGAGAATCGGCGCTGTATGTACTATTTTATTATGGTCATTGGGGAAGGGAATGCCGGGAGGCGGTATATTTCTCTTTGATCATCTTGAGCATCACTTGGGCCGCTGTAAGAAGGTCGATGAGGACATATTCTGCAGGATTCTTTGGATGATAGAAGATCACTGGAACCTCTGGGAATAGAAACAAGGGTGACTGGTGTAGCACAAGCAGCCCCGATTGTCAGCAGAAGGTATATATATATATATATATATATATATATGGATGTCGCAAGGAGGGAGTATTGTGGGAAACGCGTGGCTCAGGCACGAATTGACGAGTAAATAATACATGAGCCCAAGCCCGTGTAACTATAGAAATATTTATTTATACAATTACCTTGAACAATGATGATATCAAGGTTAGGACAAAAAAACAATAATTAAATAATTAAATAAATAAACTAACTCAAAAACAGGTCATAAATCCAAACCATGGTCAGAAGTTGAGCATTGATTTTCTAACCATGTTCATGTTCAACTTTCCTCTAACCGCGTTCACCGTTATTTAGTTACTCCGTCGTTAGTCATCTACATTCAAAAATCGCGTTTCTTACCTTACACTAGAAACAAATAAATGAAAATACCTTCATTCTTTTAGATTTCTTCCTTATCATAGCGTTCATCTACTGTTAATTCCATCGTTATTCATTGTCTCCCTCACTTTGCACAATAATGTCGCGCGTCACCATCGCCAACCTACCCCGGATGAGCCGCGATACCCTCGCGGCCATGCTACTCACGCCTACCAACGCCAATACACTCGCGATAGTAGATGTACGGGATTCAGGTAAGAGCTGTTTCCATTCCTAGTTTTTGCCCTATCTTTTCTTCTTTTGTATGGGCGTAGAAGCATATTGCGCAACAGAAAGGAATAATCCTCCTTAGTTTACCCCGCGGATACCCATACCCCTCTCCAAACAACCCCCCCCACCTTTCTTTTTTTAAAGCTCACAGCACAACCGACAACCGTTCCACCCTACTGACTCTAATGTCATTGCTATAGATCACGTCGGCGGCCACATCTTCACTTCGACCTGGCAGCCGAGCGCGACTCTCGGCCGGCACATGCCGGAGCTCATCAACTCGCTACGCGACAAGGAGAAAGTCGTCTTCCACTGCGCGCTGAGCCAAGAGCGCGGTCCCTCTGCGGCACTCAAATACATACGAGAACGAGAACAAGTACTGGGGAAGGAAGAGAGTGCTAAGCAGACCGTGTTTGTTTTAGATGGGGGCTTTGTCCGGTGGCAGGAAAAGTATGGGGAGGATCAACGGCTGACGCAGGGGTATGTTAAGGATATTTGGGAGGATTGAGGGGCCCTACACTAGAGGGAGGATGTTGTATTTTTTTATTTTTATTTTTATTATTTTTAATTATTTTTAATTATTATTTTTAATTTTTTACGCGATATACAACTGTTATGCGACGTTTTAATATTTGGTTTCGTTTACACCCGCCTGGAGGCTCGCGATGCGAATCGTCAACTGCGGAACTTCGGCCACGATAGGCACTGGACGATGATCAATGGTTTAAAAAAAAGAATAAACGCGGAAGAAGACTACCTTCATTTCTAGCCCGCACAGGTTTGCCAAAACATCTTCATTCCTTAGTATACGTCCCTAACAGCGATTATTCGAAGACTGGGTTGAAATAGTATTAACCGGCGGCCAAGACAAGCTCGACATGAGCCATTCCAACAACGGATGCTGTTTCTTCCTCCAATCATTCTATAGAGAACTTCGTGGCTTCCTATACAACAAGCTCTGATAGATGATAGGATCTTTGAAAATACAAGATTTCTCATGATAATTGGAATTGGTTAGTTATTCCAGCATGAGGGAAATACTCAATACGATACCCATCTTTGCCGCCCCTATTCGTCCAAAAACCCAGAGATCCAGCATTAAAATACATCAAGGATATATAATACATACGAAATTACATATATAAATACAAACCAAACCCTCCAAAAAGGTTTACCTTACCCTAAAACACTCCCTCCGAACCCAACAGGCCTCCGCTTCCCCCCACTCTCTGGCACAATAGCCAAAGCCTTATATAGTCTCCCCATGCCCCCCCCCCCTCTCTCCACCAAGCGCTTCCACCCACTCTCAATCCGCTTCCTCTTCTCCTCATCGCCCTCCCCTTCCACCTTCTTCAGCAACTGTGCCGCCCTCTCCGAAATCCCCAAGGCTTCTAAAAACGCCCCTTGTTCCGTCGGCCCATACACCTCCACGCCGGGACTAGCATCAATCGCCGCCTCCGCCAGCGCCGTGAAATCCACATCGGCGCTAACGTCAACCTGGCCGGGAGCGGCAAAGGGGGAAACGAGCTGATGTTTCCGGATGCCGCGGAGGGAGTTTATGGGAATTGTAGAGGTGGTGCCGTAGTCGAGGATAAGAGCGGCGCCGGAAGGGACTTTATTCTTCTTCGCGTCCGTGGCCGCTGGGGAGGATGGGGAGGTAAACGCACCTCCTATCCGCTTTGCGATGTCTTGGACGCACGTTTGGCTTTCCGGGCTGATCTCGATTGTGGACCCTGGAGTTGATTTTAGGGCCTTGTACCGGGGCGACATTTCGGGGAGGATGAGGGAGGACGGTGTGGATGCCTTGGCGAGTGAAAGGCGGAATTCGGGCTCCTTGCTGCTTTTCACTTCTGGCGTTTCTGGGTTGGGCGAGACAACGAGTTCTCTCCATTGGGTGGTAGTGGAGGAAGAGGGAGCGGACGATTGGTGGAGAGTGATAGGACCAGTGGGCGAGTTAATGGTCTGGGGCTGAGATGGTACTTCTACAGATTGGAAGGCGTGTATGGGTAGGGCGTCGAAGAATTCGTGGGCGAAAATGAAGGGGGTTTTATCGGGTTCTAGATGTATGATAGGCGAGAGGAATAATCAATTATGCTCACAAACATCTATAGATATGCCATGGGGTCGAGCAGGAAATATATACTTACCATCTGGGAGGAAACTGATATGCTCTGCCCAAACAATCGGGACACCCAGATGTATACTCTTGCTCTTATACCCAGCCTCAACCTCCTCCATAGGTGCATCTCCGCAGAGTAATTTCCGCTGAACCTCCCGCAGCACCGGGCTGGCTTCTACCAGATAAACAGCCTCAATCGTAGACGCAAAGCTCTTGAAATTTCGAAAGCACTGCCATGGACATCACCCCAAGTCATTAGCAATCGCCCACATCCCAAACTACCCAAAATGCCATTAGAGAAAAAGTCAAAAATGAAAACTCACCCTTAACATATCCCCCATAAGTGTCCCCTTGCCCGGTCCAAACTCAATTATCTGCACCCCACCACTCTTCCTCCCCTGTCCCATCCACTCCGCAACGGTCCAAATACCCAACAGCTCGCCAAAAATTTGAGAAATCTCCGGTGACGTCACGAAATCCCCCTTGGTGCCAAAAAGCTCAGTATCCTCAGCCTCCTGGCCGCGAGAGGTGTAATATCCGCCATCGGGGGAGGTGAGGCATTGGCGCATGTACGCTGCGATGGATACTGGGCCGGTGACCTGTGGGATTCAAGCTCGTTTAGCAGAAGATCAATTCATTCTCATCTCTTTTCTTTGTTATTAAAGAAATATCGGATAGGATTATGGGAAGAGATACGTACGCTTATAGCTTCACCAAGCGATTTTGCCAGTGGCGTTGACCATTGTCGTGGAGTCGTCGAGCTCGGGACGGCGGTGGAGGACCATCGCACAGGAACTGTCGCATTGGAAGCAGCCAACTGATGAAACCGGCCAACCTTTGGTAGGCGCGTTAAGAGCAGGAGAGCGGATCCATTGCTCATTTTTGAACGAGCCCCGTGGCTTTCCTGTAGGCGGATGTATGTGTAATTTCCGCGCGGAGGCTTTTGGAGGAGAGGAATTTGTGTTTGGAGTTCGCAGTTCGGAGACCGAGAAATATGCGGCTTGGGTCCCGCTAGATTCGCCCGCTCGCAATTTTAGTCGCGCATCGCGAAGCACGGAAACCAGGATCAAATACTTTTTATAATACTTACTATGATTTCAATTTCATTGATTTGGATTGTAAACTATAATGTTCCTTCTTCGCCCATCCACGACTAGGGGATCCGCCAATGTAAGGAATAAAAATAAAAATATAAAAATCCAAGAGGACAAAAGAGGTTCACGCATAGTAACCCCATGAATTCATTATACAATACAATGAAATTTCAGTTTACAAAATAGAAAATCTACCTGACAAGCCCCTTCTCCTTTCTGATATGCTAAAGTAATCAAACCTGAAGCCGGTAACTATATGCGCCCATTACCAAACCAAAAAAAGGGGGGAAATAATTAAAAATATATAGACTTATTCGTAAATTTCGCGCCCCATATACTTTTTATCCTCCAAATTCCATGACGGCTCCATAGCCCCGGTCTCGTTAGTTCCATGACGTAATGTTAAAACAGGCATATACCATGATCGCCAAACACAAGGAGTTATTGAAAAACTGATCATAAACAGCTACTATCTCCCGCGTCTCCCATGGTAGTGTGAGTCGTGGCTCGGTTCATCTATAACCATTTGATCACTGTAGAGTCCCGTATCACGGCCATTTCCCATGCTTCGATCCCTCCCTGATCCACTACCTCCTCGCTGATCTCTACTTCCACGACCGACTCCGGCGTGCTGTTGCTGCTGAGATCGATCATCGAAGCCGTAACGGCCGTCTTGTACCTGGGGGTCAGCGCGTCGTTGCTCGCGGCGCTCACGGTCCGCTTGTTCGCGGAGGCTATCGAAAGTGGGCTGTGACCGATGGTGGCGTAGTCTGCCTGTATTCGTTTCGGCGGGTATTTGTGGAGGGGGTTGCAGTCCTGGTTTTATCCGGACATGGAGGATCCTTCCATCCGCCTTGAAGTTGTGTTAGTTTGTCTGGAGTAGCTAAACCAACACCAGATATGGAGTAAAGTGACATGCGCTATACCTTTTGATTATTGAATCGTGCAACTACGCTCTCAGCACCACTCCCTTCCTCAAAAGTCATCTCAGCTGTCACTTCCGGGTGCGTAGACACAATCCTGCAGCCCAGAATTGCACCTCCTACTGGTTCGAGTGCGGACACGATATCTGCAGCGGTGGTGCCGGGCGCAAAGTTACTTCCCAGCACGACGCAAGGTCCCGACACGCTTCCTTTGCTGAATCCTGGTCCCCGATCCGTGATGGTCGTTTGGCCGCTGTTTTGTGTAATGAGATCGGAGAACTTGCGGTTCTTTCTGGCGGGACGAGTCGGCACAGCCGGTTTTCTCGTCGCTACCGGCGCAGCTGATCTCTGGGTATCTTATTAGCTACTTGGGGTTGTCGAGCCTAGGTTCTAACGTCTAATAAAAAGAAAGGAGTACCTTTCCAATGCCCACTCTACTTGCAAGGCTGCCAGGTACTACAGACACTCTGTTGGCCAACGCGCCTGCGCCTGAACCTGACCCTGGCCCCGAACCTGGTGCGCTGGAACGCCTTTTAGCCTCGAAGAATTTATCCGTCAAAGCTTGCTTCTTACGTCGCGTGCGGGCTAGAGGTTTTCAAAAAAAAGAAAGAAAGAAAGGCGTTAGTTTTTGAATATATTCTCTACTCCAAAACAAAAGAAGACGAATAGACAAAGGGCAGGTGTTGGCAAGAGCTTTCCATAACTTACCAGCCTGGATAATCTCGTCGAATGAGACAGCTTCCTTGGCTGCGGCCATGGTTGCGGAGTATTAGTTTTTCTCTGAAACTGGATTTCTGCTATGAAATTAGGGCAGGGTTGGGTTGATCGAGAGAAGTGGACTAGTTAGTGATTGTATTTCTAGCAGATGAATTGCTAGCTTGTTCGTAGGGATGATAGATGTGATATGCTGTGGCCAAAAGGGGTAAAACTTCATGGCGGCTAAGCCTGCGGGCGCTAAACCGTGTTTGGCTAGTGGATTGTTCCAACAAAGCGCGTCGAAAGTATTTTAGAGGAACAGGCGTTTCTGATTCTCATTGTCAGATATGTCAAACAAGGCCATGAATGAGAGTAATACACCAACGCCACTATATATAACCCGAGATATATAAGGGGCTGTCTGCTATTCTCTGGCATCCCATAGGAACTTGGAGTGATATGTAGTGCCACGCCTAGGTACCTCCTGGTGCATACCAATTTGTACTTGTCGCGAGGTAGCTCCAGCACACAGACAATAGCCCCCTGGAAACTTTCTCTTCTTTCCTAATCGAGCATGTCCTGCTCGTCGTTCTGGCCTCGGATTTTGAGCCTCATCCAACGGTGCTTCATCTTCTTCGTTGTCTTCCTCTTCGTCTTCTTCATCATCTCTTTCGCGTCGTTCTCGCTCTGGTCTTTGTATCTCTTCATCCAGGAATCTCCACGAGTTCTCTGACTCCATTCCTACTGTTCTATTTCTCCTAATACCCAAAACTATAAGAACCTGTAGGTATTCAACTACCTGAATACTGCTTTCGGTATCTATCTAGCTATATCATCCTTGTTATTCCCTATTTCTATCCCTTCGGATTCGCCAGTGCACGAGCAAGTGGCCGTTCAGCTGGCCTATTTTCCTGCTCACCCAGTTTTACCCTATATAAATACCCTATATAAAAGGGGGGCTAGTTTCGATGGCTTCCATTTGGAGGCGAATGACTTCCAGTCCTGATTGCCGACTTGATGAAGACGCGTCTAAGACGCAGTCCTCACTGAGGTCGCGACGTGTAAAGAAAGACCTCCATCGACGTCGAAGCCTGGCTGGTCTCTTTACTACCTCGCCTCCGTCCAAAGAGCCGTAAGTTCCCTCTAGACATCACCTCGATGTCTCTGTTTCTGATGTCCAGTCGGCCTCATAGGGACCAAAATATAACAACTATTACATGCGAAGAGAGAATCCATTATCCGCTGTACAACCCTCGCGATCCTAGACATAACATAGACGCTCTTGCCTGTGATTGTAAGGACAAGGGATTCTGGACTACCTACGGCCGATCTATAAGATCACGCTTTCAAGGTTCCGCTAAGTCCGGAACAGTATCTCCAAGTATCCAGCAACGGAACTCTCGTCGGAGCATCCGATCTAGCTTCGTGTCCTTTACTAGCTCGTCACGACTCATGAAACGCTTCTCCCGCTCGGAAACGCCTTCCAAACCTCCTTTGAGCTCAATTTGGGAGCCCCAAAGCGCGAGTCAGGAGGTAGCATGCAAGCTCCTGCCTGATAAGATTGACGACTCCCAACTTTCGGGTTTCCATGAAGCCTTGGGCGCCCCGCGGCAATATCTTTTGCCGTCACTTCCATCAATGTCATCAGGCTTAATGTCCCCATTGGAATTGGAAGCCTGTACTGCCGGAGCGCATACGGAGCAGGAAACATCCTACCCTCAAAATTATGGATCTGGACCCCAAACATTCAGTCGGCCACTCCAGCCGTTTCATATTCTGCGGAACGCAGTGTCTTCCATGTCCAGTGGCCAGTCAGCAGTCCAGGCACACCCAAAATATGCCAATATCTCAAATAACAGTGAGCTTTTAGTAGCACGCATCTTTTAACCCCAAGATGAAGATTAACTCCTAACAGGGTTTATTGTAGGATCCGAAATGGCCAGCTCACCAATACCCATCACGTCGAAGCGCCCGCCGCTTAACCACCAGCAAGCTCGCATGGTAAAGGCAAGAGATGGTGCAAACATGTCAACTTTGTTGAGTAAACAGATGCATTCGCACTCATCTACACTTGATGACAAAAAGAATAATGAGAGCCAAATATCAAAAATTTTATCTAACGGTGCAAAACCTGAGTCGCTTCTTAACCTTGGTGAGCAGTGGCTAGAAACTCGAATGCAACCACTCCGCGAAGTCAGCCCCGGAATCTCACAACCCAGCACTGCCACCGATTCTGAATTTGGAGTAGAAATGCACCGCACCTCCGGCCCGCATTATTATGCTTCTACCACGGAGAGTGACGCGGTTCTTAGCTCCTGGCTTTCTTCATTGTCTAGTATTTCTCATCCACGCGATAATACTGATATTTCTGGAAGCACCCTGTGTCGCTCCCCGCCTTCTTCGACAAGGCACCCAAGCC